CCTTCCCCCTCTACTCCTGTCACTGACTACTACCGTGCCGATTGTCCTGTTGTCCCTCGTGTCCTCACCACTCTTGTCACCGGCTCTCGTTTCCCTCCGTCGTCTGTCTCAGCTCTCACTGCCGCCTTCGCTGACTTTGCTGCCGCCAGACGCCTTGAATACACCACCCGTGTGGTGCCAGCTCCTCCATCCTGTCCTCTGTCCGTCGAGGGTGGGTTTGCCCTTGGCTGTGATGTCCTAGAGGACAGAGAGTCTGAGCTGGAGTACTGGGCAGCCGCTTCGTCCATGCTGCTATCCCCTGAGGGAGACACCGACGCCCTTGACATACCGACTCTTCGCACTTACCGCGAGGCAGTGTCAGGGGGGCGTGGGCCTCACAGTGGAAAGCGGCTATGGCCTCGGAGTTAGCGTCTTGGAGATCCACAGGCACCTACGTCGACGCAGTTCCCCCTCCCAGGGCGAACGTAGTCGATGGCATGTGGCTCTTCAAGGTGAAGCGGCCGCCTAGTTCACCGCCTGTGTTCAAGGCGCGCTACGTGGCTAGGGGTTTCATTCAGCGTGAGGGAGTTGACTTCTTCCAGACCTTCGCCCCTACCCCGAAAATGACTACTCTTCGGGTGTTACTGCACGTAGCAGCATAGCGAGACTACGAGCTGCACTCCCTTGACTTCTCTACTGCGTTTCTCCAGGGCCGACTACACGAGGAGATCTGGCTGCGCTGCCTTCCTGGCTTCACTGACACCTTCCCACCTGGGACCCAGTGGAGCCTGAGACGGCCAGTCTACGGTCTCCGCCAGTCGCCCCGTGAGTGGCACGACACTCTTCGCTCCACGCTTCGTGACCTTGGGTTTTGTCCTTCCTCTGCCGACCCGTCGGTGTTTGTTCGCACTGGTTCCACTCCTTTCTTTATACTAGTGTACGTCGACGACTTGGTCTTTGCCACAGCAGACAGAGCAGCTCTGGCTCAGGTGAAGTCCGAAGTGCAGAAGAGACACACGTGCACTGACCTAGGTGAACTGCAGCGCTACCTTGGCCTGCATCACCAGGGACAGAGCCGCTCGCACCATCACACTGACTCAGTCACACATGGTGCAGTAGGTCCTTCGGCGGTTCGACTTCCAGTTCTCCACCACACAGCCCACACCTCTTGCTGTTGACCACAGACTCACTGGCCCCTTTCTCGACGAGCCTTTTGAGTCCAGTGGTCCCTACGCAGAGCTGGTGGGCTGCCTCATGTACCTGATGACTTGTACTCAACCGGACCTCGCCTTTCCCCTCAGCATACTTTCTCGCTTTGTTGCGACTGGGAGACACCGTCCTGTCCACTGGACAACTGCTGTGAGTGTGGCGAAGTACCTGGCGACTACATCAGGCATGGGGCTTGTGCTTGGAGGGACTCAGCCAGTGGCGTTGACTGGTCACTGCGACTCTTCCTACGCTGACGAAGTGGAGACTTAGCGCTCGACTCAGGGTTACTCTTCAGTCTGGGTGCTGGTGCTGTGTCGTGGAGGTCTACACGGTCGTCGTCTGTGGCTACTTCCAGTGCAGAGGCAGAGATCTACGCTGGTGCCATGGCGGCACAGGAGCTTCGCTGGTTGACCTTCTTGCTCGCCGACCTTGGTGAGCGGCCTCGCTCTGCACCGACCTTGTACGCTGACAACAAGGCGATGATCCTCCTCTGTCGAGAGCCTCGACTGGAGAGCAGAGTGAAGCATATTGACGTGAGGTACTTCCTCCTGCGAGAGCTGCAGCGACGCGGCCAGGCACGCCTGGACTTTGTGGCCTCAGAGGCCAACACTGCAGACGTCTTCACCAAGGCCCTGGCGATTGGTGACCACCACATGTTTTGTGTGAAGTTGGGGCTTGCTGAGGTAGGCCCTCGGTTGCTGTAGACTTGTTACTTGCTCTGCTTGTTGTGTTTTTCTATATACATCATAGTGAACTCTTGAACTGGCCTTGTGGCCGCTTGCTTGTGCTCGGAATTTGTGTGGTGTCCTTAAGATCCACCCTGAGCTTGCCTTGCTTCTTGTCTTGACTGGTCTTGTGGCCGTTTGTCTACCTTGCTTGTTTTGATGCCCCTCACTTAGCCTATGGGGGTGTGTCAAATATAATAGTTATAGGCTGTAGTGAGATGCATTCTAGAGGGTACAGATGCTAGGGTTTCCTATTTGTATCCAACACTTAGCAAGTTCATTCATTCCGTTGTTCGCTAACTTTGAGACACAAACGCATGGGGAAAACGAAACGGGGAGCTTGGGGAAATCGGGGGGGATGTGGAAAGAGAGGAGAATGAGGAAGAGGGAAGCCTGGGGGGATGGGAGACAAGAGGAAACAGGTAAAACCAGATAGGAATGGGGAAAAGGGGAAGGTTGGGGAAGTCGGGGGACATGTGGAAACAGGAAGATACGGGGAAACAGACAGACCTGGTGAACCAGTGGGACATGTTGTAATGGAGAGACGCGGGGATTGAAGGGAATATGGGGATACAAGGAGGTATGAGACAAGAATGGGGAAAGGGGGAAGCTTGGGGGAATTGGAAGACAGGGGAAAACAAGAAGGCCGGACAAGGAGACATGGGGTAACATGGAAATATGGGGAAACTGGGAGGCATGGGGAAACACATGGGGAAACAGGGAGGTATGAGGAAACAGGGAGGCATGGGGAAACAGGGAGGCATGGGGAAACATCGAGGCATGGTGAAACAGGGAATCATGATGATACAGGGGGATATGGGGGGAAGCAGGCAGGGAGATGGGGAAAAGGGAAGAGATGGGGAAAAGGGTGAGAATTAGAAAGTTTCGAAACAGGGAGACATGGGGAACAGAGGGGCATGGGTGAAGCGGGTGGCATAGGCTTTAAACTAGAGACATGGTGAACAGGGAGTGAGTGTGAAAAAGCGAGACATGGAAAAAGAAGAAGTATGGGCAAAACCAGGGGAACACGAAGATGTTGATATTAATGCGGAATCGGGGAGGCATCACGAAACATGAAGAAATGGGGAAACATGGGGACATGGGGACAAAGGGAGGCATAGAGAATCACTGACACATGGGGAAACAGAGAAACATGGTGAAAGGGGGACACTGGGAAGCTTTGAGAATTGATGAAACAGGATAGATGGGGAAAGAGAGTCACGGGGAAACAGGAGGGTATGGGGAATAAAAAAAGGATGCAGAAACAAGGAAGTATGGTGAACCATGGACACATGGTGAAAAAGGGAGACATGAGGAAAAAAGGAGACATGGGGAAACAATGGGACATGGGGAAACAAAGATGTATTGTGAAAATACAAGACATGGGAAAACGCTGAGGTATGGGAAAACAAGGAGACACGGTGAAACAGTGAGGTATGGTGAAACAGGGAGTGAAATGGGAAAATAGGGAAATCTGGTGAAACGGGAAGTCATGGGGGAAACATGGAGGCATGGGGAAACGAGGAGGTATGGTGAAACGGAATAGGAAGTACGGTGAAACAGTGAGGTATGGTGAAACAGTGAGGTATGGTGAAACAGTGAGAAACAGTGAGGTATGGTGAAACAGTGAAACAGTGAGGTGTGGTGAAATAGTGAGGTATGGTGAAACAGTGAGGTACGGTGAAACAGTGAGGTATGGTGAAACAGTGAGGTACGGTGAAACAGTGAGGTATGGTGAAACAGTGAGGTATGGTGAAACAGTGAGGTATGGTGAAACAGTGAGGTACGGTGAAACAGTAAATATGGTGAAACAGTGAGGCACGGTGAAACATTGAGGTACGGTGAAACAGTGAGGTATGGTGAAACAGTGAGGCACGGTGAAACAGTGAGGGTAGGCATGGTGAAATAGTGAGGTACGGTGAAATAGTGAGGTATGGTGAAACAGTGAGGTATGGTGAAACAGTGAGGTATGGTGAAACAGTGAGGTACGGTGAAACAGTGAGGTATGGTGAAACAGTGAGGTATGGTGAAACAGTGAGGTACAGTGAAATAGTGAGGTATGGTGAAATAGTGAGGTACGGTGAAACAGTGAGGTACGGTGAAACAGTGAGGTATGGTGAAACAGTGAGGTATGGTGAAAAATTGAGGTATGGTGAAACAGTGAGGTACGGTGAAACAGTGAGGTACGGTGAAACAGTGAGGTATGGTGAAACAGTGAGGTATGGTGAAACATTGAGGTATGGTGAAACAGTGAGGTACGGTGAAACAGTGAGGTACGGTGAAACAGTGAGGTATGGTGAAACAGTGAGGTACGGTGAAACAGTTAAATAGGGAGACATAAGGAAACAAGAAGTTGTGGAGAAACAAGGATGTAGAGAAAGAGGATGGGGAAAGGGGAGTCATGGGGAAAGCGGGTGGCAAAAGGAAACAGGGAGACATAGGGAAAAAGGGAGGCATAGGGAAACAGGGAGATCACGGAGAAACAGGGATGCTAGGAGAAACAGAGGCACGTGGGAAAAAAAAAAGAGACATGGTGAATCCGGGAGGAATGGGGAATCAGAGGCATGTGGAAACGGGACAAGGGGTAAAAGGAAGACAACAAGGAGACATGGGGATACAGAAGGACATGGGGAAAAGGGGAGTGGGAATGGGACATGGGGACGAATGGATACATGATGGGGAAAGGGAAACATAGGGGAAACAGGGAGGCACGAGAAAACAATGAGACATGGAGAACCAGTGAGGCATGAGGAAGAGGGAGGTATGGGGAAACAGGGAGAGATGGTGAAACGAAGAGACATGGGGAAACAAGGAGGCATGGGAAACAAGGAGGCATGGGGAAACAAGGAGGCATGGGAAAACAAGGAGGCATGGGGAAAAGCAGAGGGGCATGCGGAATCATGGGAAAATAAGAAGACATGGGGAAGCAGGGAGATGGAAGTGCATTGCAGAATTGTTGTATGGTTCCTGTTTTTAGTTGTCATTGCCGATTAAACGCCAAGGCTTAACAATGCATAGGCAACTATATCAATAGAAGGGTCTACATAACATAGTTCACATATTGCCTAGTTCCTAACTCTTCCTACAATGCTCAAGCCTGGAGCCATCCGTCAGGAGCGCTCAAGCCTGGAGCCATCCGTCAGGAGCGCTCAAGCCTGGAGCCATCCGTCAGGAGCGCTCAAGCCTGGAGCCATCCGTCAGGAGCGCTCAAGCCTGGAGCCATCCGTCAGGAGCGCTCGAGCCTGGAGCCATCCGTCAGGAGCGCTCAAGCCTGGAGCCATCCGTCAGGAGCGCTCAAGCCTGGAGCCATCCGTCAGGAGCGCTCAAGCCTGGAGCCATCCGTCACGAGCGCTCAAGCCTGGAGCCATCCATCAGGAGCGCTCGAGCCTGGAGCCATCCGTCAGGAGCGCTCGAGCCTGGAGCCATCCGTCAGGAGCGCTCAAGCCTGGAGCCATCCGTCAGGAGCGCTCGAGCCTGGAGCCATCCGTCAGGAGCGCTCAACCCTGGAGCCATCCGTCAGGAGCACTCAAGCCTGGAGCCATCCGTCAGGAGCGCTCAAGCCTGGAGCCATTCGTCAGGAGCGCTCAAGCCTGGAGCCATCCGTCAGGAGCGCTCAAGCCTGGAGCCATCCGTCAGGAGCGCTCAAGCCTGGAGCCATCCGTCAGGAGCGCTCAAGCCTGGAGCCATCCGTCACGAGCGCTCAAGCCTGGAGCCATCCGTCAGGAGCGCTCGAGCCTGGAGCCATCCGTCAGGAGCGCTCGAGCCTGGAGCCATCCGTCAGGAGCGCTCAAGCCTGGAGCCATCCGTCAGGAGCGCTCGAGCCTGGAGCCATCCGTCAGGAGCGCTCGAGCCTGGAGCCATCCGTCAGGAGCACTCAAGCCTGGAGCCATCCGTCAGGAGCGCTCAAGCCTGGAGCCATCCGTCAGGAGCGCTCAAGCCTGGAGCCATCCGTCAGGAGCGCTCAAGCCTGGAGCCATCCGTCAGGAGCGCTCAAGCCTGGAGCCATCCGTCAGGAGCGCTCAAGCCTGGAGCCATCCGTCAGGAGCGCTCAAGCCTGGAGCCATCCGTCAGGAGCGCTCGAGCCTGGAGCCATCCGTCAGGAGCGCTCAAGCCTGGAGCCATCCGTCAGGAGCGCTCAAGCCTGTAGGTGTCATTGAAGGCACAGCAGCACAAGAGCTTTCCCTCACCCCCTCCAGCCATCAACCACCCACCACACTCCCACAAACACCCTGCTGTGAAGCAGGGCGCAAAAAAGGGTAGTGCCACCGTGTTCCCCATCCACACCACACCCATCCCCCAGTCGGTGCTCTCGGCGTGTAGCTGTGCTGTGCCTTTCACATGCCTTTTATACCATCCCTCCATCTCCTACCCCAAGCTCTCCTCTTTTTTTTTTTTTCCAAGAATTTCAGTAAAAGTTTTTTTTTTTTTTTTTTTTTTTTTTTTTTTTCATGCGTGCAGCAGTCAAGGGCGCCATGGCCGGCGTGGGATTGCAGCCGGCACGGCCTTGGATGTCCTGCGAGGCCGCTTGCCTGCAGCTTCGACTTCCACTCCCCTCACCTCCCTGTGCGGTGCAGCGCATTTAGGCCTGGGAATCAGTGTCGTTCCCTCCACTCGCCTCCTAATCGCTGCTCCCTTGCTCGGTTTCGGGATGCGCGACGGTACGACAGTACTCACTGACTTGGCGCAAGCTGCCAAAGATAGAGCCGTTGGAGCTGAAACGAGCGGTGCCGCGGCATGCGGTGCTGCAACGATAGAGGCTGCTGCATCCGACAATCTCGCATTCGAGGCTTCAGCATCCTGCGCTGCAGGATCTGACGGCATCAGTTTCGCTTCCACAGCATCAAATGCTTCAACATGCGACGCTTCAGCATGCGACGCTTCAGCATGCGACGCTTCAGCATGCTTCGCTTCAGTGTCCGACACTCCTGTAGCATCCGACGTCACCGCCGGCAGCTCTAGCAGCAGTGTCGCTGCAGCGGTGGGATTCGTGCTGTTGCTGGAAAACAGCGGCTGCAGGCACGATTTTGCCTGCTTCTCGCTGTTCTTCCAAAAGCTAAGTGCGGACATAAATGACGGATAGTCTGAGGCCATGTCGAACTGAATGAACGAGGAAGTTAACTGAACTACGAAGACCAGCAGCGTAGTAGCTTGTGTTGGAAGGAGTTGTGAATGAGACTAGCTGGCATGGCGGATTTCTAAGGCCGATTAGTGGCTGGTGTTGGCAGATGTGGCGCTGGTCACAGCAGCAGCAGCGAGAAGCAGAGAGAGACAGACTCGAGGCTTGGGCTGCTCGGCTTGGGGAGGGAAAAGCGGAACACCGCAGCCACGGAAAGGCGGGTGTTCCACCGCGGGGAGCTTCCATGGCTCCAGAATATTCGGATTCAGAGCATTTGCGGTCACTTTAGAGCGGTTAGGTAGGGTCTCGCGGTCATCTTCGACCAGCCTCAAAATGCAAAGCTTTTTGGGGTCATAATAGAGCAGTTGAGTACGGTTTTTAGAAATATTGAGCTCTTTTGAGACACCCTCGATTTCGTCGGATGTTTCCAAGGCAGTGCGACTGGTGCCCAAGCATATTTCACGAAGCTGCCCGCATCCGAGGTTGTCGCTGACGCTGGGGAGTTTCCTTTGGCGCTGCTGTGTTGGTGGTTTGGTTGGGCAGCCCTCTGGTTTGGCAGAATAGTTTCGAAACCCACACCCATGAACGAACACAGAGGCTGCCTCCGAACTTTGAGCTTCCGGGGCTTGCGCGAGCCAACCGAAGCCAACTAGCCAAGATACGTACCCCCTTACCACATATTCGAGTTTTGATTGTACTGTCAGTTCCTCTCATAGCGGTTTCAAATATATGTTCTAGATTACACCAATTAACAGATCAAATCAGAGCACAACTTGATTTGTCTTATACCATATTATCAGTGTTACACGATGCAAGACTAAAAAAAGAAAACGCAAGAACTTATGGTACCTGGTTTCCATGACAGTTGAAGTCCAGAGCTTCGCATCCTAATTAGCCATATCGAAGTTCTGTAACACCGTGCATAGTACACCCTTCTAACATTCAGGTCCAGGCTTTTATAGGACCATTGCAGCCTCTGAGTTGCACGAGCATAAATCGTGATAAGGAAGGTCTATTTTAACGGCAGGTCGGTGATAAAGTAGGTCTAGCGAAGCGACTGGTCGGTGATAAGTAAGCCTGGTTTGAGATATCGTTGGTCAGCGTTAGGAGCAGGACCATGCGCAAGGATGTGTGTGTGCAGCGAAAGGCGGATGTGCGTATGCAATGAAAGAAGCAGGATGGGTGGGTGGGTGGGTAGCTTGCTTGGAGCATTCGGGTACGTGGGATGGGATCATGTAAGCAACGCAAGCAAGCAGTGAAGTATGTGTGCTGCAGGGTTTACATGCAATTGTCGTCATTTGTGTTGGAAACTATTAATTAACACTCCTGTTTGTCAGAACATTATAGCTTATGCTGTTGTGTAGGCTATAGTGGGGTATCCCATAGGGGGTACAACCAATTAGGGTTTCATATTTGTACTCACTTCATTTCATAGTTCACCCATTCTTGTTCAAATCTTCTCATGGTATCGAGCAGGTTCCCCCTTGGGAACTGTGCTTAGGGCCCACCACATCGATTTTTTTTTTTTTTTTTCCTGCCCGAAGCGCGCTCAGCCCGAGTCGCGCTCCGGGCCCTCACTTCGTCGAGCCGCCCTAGCGGCCCTTCACTGCGGCCCCGCCACCCGTCTCCGCGGCCCCGCCGCCCGTCTTCGCGGCCCCGCCGCCTCTCTCCTAGCGGCCCCGCCGCCCTACCTAGCGGCCCCGCCGCCCTACCTCGCGGCCTCGCCGCCCCATTGCGCAGCCCCGCCGCCCTACCTAGCGGCCCCGCCGCCCCATCGCGGCCCCGCCGCCCCATCGCGCGGCCCCGCCGCCCTACCTAACGGCCCCGCCGCCCTACCTAGCGGCACCGCCGCCCTTCCTCGCGGCCCCGCCGCCCCATCGCGCGGCCCCGCCGCCCTACCTAGCGGCCCCGCCACCTTACCTGCGGCCCCGCCACCTTACCTGCGGCCCCGCCCTTACCTGCGGCCCCGCCGCCCTCTGCTGCGGCCCCGCCACCTTACCTGCGGCCCCGCCACCTTACCTGCGGCCCCGCCACCTTACCTGCGGCCCCGCCGCCCTCTACTGCGGCCCCGCCACCCTATCTGCGGCCCCGCCACCCTACCCGCGGCCACGCCGCCCTTACCAGCGGCCCCGCCGCCCTTACCTGCGGCCCCGTCACCTGCTGCCCAGCCGTGCCGCCCTGCAGCAGCACAGCCGAGCCGCCCAGCAGCCGAGCCGCCGAGCCGCCCAGCAGCCGAGCCGCCCAGCAGCCGAGCCGCCGAGCCGCCCAGCAGCCGAGCCGCCCAGCAGCCGAGCCGCCGAGCCGCCCAGCAGCCGAGCCGCCCAGCAGCCGAGCCGCCCAGCAGCCGAGCCGCCCAGCGGCCGCGCCGCCCAGCAGCCGAGCCGCCCAGCAGCCGAGCCGCCCAGCAGCGGGGCCGCCGAGCCGCCGGGCCGCCCAGCAGCTGAGCCGCCGAGCCGCCGCGCCGCCTTCCTTCAGGGCCGCCCGACCTGCCCAGTCTGGTGAGCACAGCGCCTTTTCACTGCACTGTCCTCACCCTACTGTTTGCGCTGCTAGTCGTCTAGGGTCATGGCTACCCCTAGTGTTCTCGCCTTTGACGCTGAGGGTAGGGCCATTGACTTTGAGGTCTGGGTGGATGATCTGCAGCTGTTCTTACAGTGCGATAGGGCAGACGGCCTCTCTCTCTTTGACCTCACCTCTGGCACCTCCACTGCCCCTGCTGCTGATGCTGACGCCACTGTTCGCTCCCAGTGGGCCACGCGCGATGCTGCTGCACGTCTTGCTGTGCGTCGCCACCTCCCTACCTCCGAGCGTGCGCACTTTAGTCAGTACAAGAGTGCTCAGACCTTGTACGACGCTGTAGTTGCGCGCTACTCCTCCCCTGCCACTGCTGCACTGAGCCGTCTCATGCTACCGTACCTCTTTCCTGACCTTGCTGCCTTTCCCACAGTCACTGACCTCATTACGCACTTCCGCACTAGTGACACTCGCTACCGCGCTGTACTCCCTCCTGACTTCTGCGCCAGGAACCCCCCCCCCATGTACATCACTCTTTACTACATAGTCACTCGCCTTCCTGACTCCCTTCGCGTAGTCAGGGACCACTTTCTCTCTGTCTGTCCCACCACTCTCACTGTTGACCTCCTCGAGAAGTCCCTCCTAGCGGCCGAGAAGAGCATAGTCGCTGTAGGGGCCTCTCGTGGTGACCCGCGCACCCCCATCTTTGAGGGGTGTTCCCCCTCCCCCCTTCTGCCCTCTGTTGCCTCTGCTGCTGCGGCCGACCTCCTTGTTCTTGAGTCGGTCGGTGCGGCGTCTGCCCCTAGCGGGAGACGCCGCTCTGGCAAGGGCAAGGGGGGCAAGGGCGCTGGAGGAGCGAGCGGGGGCGGTGGAGGTGGAGGTGGCGGCAGTTGGGGGAGTGGGGGTGGCGGTGGGAGTGGAGGTGGGGGTGGAGGGGTCGGTGGCGGCAGTGGAGGTGGAGGTGGCGGCGGCGGTGGCGGTGGGAGCGGAGGTGGCGGAGGTGGCGGAGGTGGAGGCGGCGGCGGAGGCGGAGGCGGCGGCAGTAGCGGAGGCGGCGGAGGCTTCGGAGGCGGCGGGGGTGGCGGTGGTGCAGGTCGCGGGTCTTCGCAGAGGAGTGGCTCCGGTGGTGGCTCGCGCCAGCAGCAGCAGCGTGGTCGTGACACCCTGTCCCCTCAGCAGCTTCGTGAGTGGTACACTGCGCGTCAGCGGGGTGGGGGTTTTGGTCCGTGCTCCTACGTTTTGCGCACTGGCGACCGTGCGGGTGAGCAGTGTGGGGGTGCCCACCCCACCCAGCGCTGCTTTGGCCGCCTGACGGACGCGTGGCGTCACCAGTTCCCGGAGGCCTCCGAGATCCCTCGCTGGGGCGAGCTGTCTAGGGCAGGTGTTGCCATCTATGATCTTGACTTTGATGCTATTCTCTCTGCCATGTATGCTGTGTCTATTAGTGATGAGGGTGACTGTTACCGGTGTTTCCCGCCCGATCCGGGCATTGTGACTGCTGCTCTAGGTCCTGGTGAGGCTGCTGCCCTAGGTGCTTGCGACGCTGCTGCTCTAGGAGCTCGTGTGTCTGCGTCCTCAGGTACTGGTGAGTCTGCGCTCTCAGGTACTGCGTCGGCTTCGGCCTCCCTCACCTTCACCCTTGACTCTGGGGCGTCTCGCTCCTTCTTTCGGGACCGCACCACACTCACAC